GTTAGCCCCTATAAGCAATTTGACATGATTAAGTAGTCGGCTTGATTACAATCTCAATAAGTGATCGACCTGACAAAAGATCGTCTCACTTAGCTTAAAGCTCCTAAGCATTGGCCCATCGCAGAGACACCAACGTACTGGTTCATAAACAGTAGAGACACCGACGTACTGGTTCATAAACAGCAGAGGCACCGACATAATGGTTCATAAGCAGCAAAAGCGCCGATGTACTGGCATAGCGGAAGCAAAGTTCAAGCGAGCTTTAATGATCGACAAGCGTTGGTCTTCGGAAGTTTTCTTCAGAATATTATCGCAACAAACATTCAAGTATCATCAAAGCTCTTTAGTTCAGAGATGCGTGGACATATCATGAAGCTCTTTTGTTCAGAGACGCATGGACATTTCTTTCAAGCTCTTTTGTTCAGAGACGCGTGTAGATATCATTAAAGCTCTTTGTTCAGAGACGTGTGGACATATCATTCAAAAGCTCTTTGTTTAGAGACGCGTGGACATATCATTCAAAAGCTCTTTGTTCAGAGACGCATGGACATATCATCAAATCTCTTTGTTCAGAGACGCGTGGACACATCATTCAAAAGCTCTTTGTTCAGAGACGCGTGGACATGTCATTCAAAATCTCTTTGTTCAGAGACGCGTGGACATATTAAAAAGAAGCTCTTTTTTCTGAGGCGCGTGGACATATAAAAAAAGCTCCATTGTTCAGAGACGAGTGAACATCAAAACAGCAAGATGGCATTCCATAGATTATGGAAGGTTGTCACAACAGCGATAGCAGCAACAAATCGGTTACCCTTCAGAGACGTGTGCTCCACGGTGCAAGATACGCGTTTCTTAACTCTCTTATCTGTTTAACTAACGCTAGTTTGCAGGTATCGGCGTTACAAGAATGATTTAGGATCGTAAAACGTTCTGGATCATTCTCCGTCCCTATCGATACTTTGACTTTTGTTTTCGAAACTTGCGTTTCTCCAAACTCAGTCAAAGTGGGGGCTTCTGTAGACACCCATTTGTGTCTCCCCAAAACCAAACCCAGTGATGAGTACCTTTTACATCAAATCATAATCGAATGAAGTGAAAGTGTGGAAAGTTTAGTGTTGCGGATAGTTTTAATTTCTCTTCTTCTCTCTGTTTTTGAAAAACTATTTTAAGATAACAGCCAATCCAGTTTGTTTGGTCCATGATATGGGTCCAATAGTAGTGTAGTTGGATAGGGCTTGAAAAGAGCTTTCCAAAGATATATTATAAGCCTAATTCCGATGAATATTGAGGAAGTTATGGCCAAATTACTGAACTGGGCCTGGTTTGAGCCTTATATGCGGCCCAATGATCTAGAGGAGGGCCTAGTATGGATTTATCATTCCTAATGCAATTAGGAATGGTTTTAGTCTTCTAGATTCTTCTAGAAGGTTCTTTTCATTCCTAATTCAATTAGCATTGATAAATTGACTTTTGTTGACTTTTTAGAGTTTTAATCAGAATAAAAGAATGTTTTTGAGGAAAATACGATTTTATCCTCCTATACGGTCGATTTCTATTTGATTTTAGAAAACGTGTCAATAATTAAGTTAGCGCCAAACGCCAGCATTAGCGCCTGGCGCTAATGTCAGTGTTTAGCGCTAACCTCGTTTTGCGCGTCAGAACTCTGTTTCGATATTTTATCTTTTTGGTTGATTTTCTCTATAAATAGCCTTCTAAAAACTCCGTTTTGATTCACGAATTCTCTCTATTTTCACCAACTCTCATCAAGAAATTCTTGATTACTCTCTCTCTTTTTTCTAAACCAGTCTTTTCTCAAAATACAAAATTCCGCATTCACAAGACCTAGATACACCTAGCCATATTCAAAGTTGCCTTTGCCCTAGACGTGAAAGGTTTTAATTTCTGAGGGTTTGGTCCCAAATCTCTCTTTCAACTATTTAATTTAATTGTTTGATTATATTTTCCTTGAAGTTACTAACGTGTGTATTTTGTTATTAGAAAGAGGTACGAGGCATCCAAGTAAGTACTTTAATGGTTTATATTGATGTTATTATGTAGAAATCATGCTTAGGTTGTTATTATGATTCCTAATGTTATGTTAGGGCGTTTTGATCTTCCTAGTATCATGTCTAGGGTAACTTTAATATCAAGTATGATTAAAAGTATGATGCCTTTTATGTTCTTCCTAATATTTATGATTGTTAGTATCATGTTAGGGCTAAATATTTGATTTTTATTATTTAGCGACATGCTAGGGTTTGTTATTAATCTTGTTAGTATCATACCTAGGATCTTGCTATTATTATGCTTTAACATGAACATGTTTATTATTATAATTATTATTATTATGATGATTGTTATGATTTTTATAATTGTTAATTTTATTATTATGTTGCTTGATATTATTTATTGTTATTGCTTGATCACACCTTTTATGCATGTTTAAAGGGAATTTGTACTTGTAATCCCGCTTATATAAGATGATTAATAATCTTGTTTAGGGTTAATTTGATTATAATTCAAGTGATCGCCAATAATAGTTTATTTTACATTAAATTCAACTAACATAGATAAACAGGTTTAAGGTTAATGCTATTGATTGCATGTTAGTCAGAAAGCGCACATGAATACGATCGGAATAAAGTAGAGGCCTATTATTAGGGCAGGTTCAATCTCTTTTAGGTTGGATTTGTACCTTCACCCACGAACTACCAATCATGGTTCAAGACCTATTGGAGTTGACGATCTCTTGGATCGTTAAAGGGTGTAACCTTCACCTCGTGAACGGTTTACAAATTCCTAAAACTTGTTGGCGATTCTTTTGCTCTATCTTCTTTCCCTTTGGACGCCACCATACTTTAGTGTATGATCACAGTGGGGTTCAAGCTAGGGGTAATGATTGAAATATTCCCTACAGGCGGCTCCCTACTTTATTTGTCCCTAATCGTTGTTGATATGCTCATTTTATATAGTATTTTACCCCCGTCCATTGGTCATAATTAGTAGTGTTTTTGGCTCTTTACATCCACTTTTATTACTAATTGGTGTTTTCTAGTGTTTTCGTAAATTTGGTTGACTTTCGTAGGGATTTGCATTTTCGGAGCATTTTCCCGAGATTTTATGGAGCAACTACGAACATTGGAGATGCACGACCATCCTTCATAGCCTAGGGCCAGTTAGAGCCATCAAACCGGTGATTAAGATCTCGGTACATGTGATACCGGGGAATTTGGACCGAGTATTCAAGACCCGAAGAGGAAATCCGGATTGGTCCGAAGAATTGGAGCCCAATCGAAGTCAATAAAGTGGCCCAAGAGTGTCGCCCGACCATTAGAGGTCTCGCCCGAAGGCGCACCCGACTGGGCGGGGAAGTGAAGCTGGCGCCCGAACTCGCACCTGGCCGGGCGCGAGAAACATGCACTTGAAGAAAAAGGCGCGCCCGATCGGGCGGTGCCTTGCCCGATCGGGCGCGTGTCATTATTATGAGTTTTAATCGTCATTTAAGTTTGTTTTAGTTTAGGAATCTTGCTTAATACAAATACTTTTCCGTTAAGAAAGTTTAATATCTTTTTTTACTCTTTCTTAATTCCTCTCTTAGATTTTCTCTCTACTTAGTTTTTAGATTATTTTCTCTCTCCAATACTTTGTTCTTAACTCTACTCTTAATTCTAGATTACTTTGGTAACGATTTCTTCTACTTTAATCTCAGTTATTTATTTTAATTCTTTCATCATGTCTTATTTTATTGCCTTGATTAGTTTAGATTTAATTATGTGTGAGTAGTTTCCTTTCTAGGGTTTGTGGGGATCCATAAATAATATGAAGGGGTAATTTATTGTTGTTAATTATCAATGCTAGATTAATTTCCTATTGATTAATTTAATGCTCTGTGACTAGATTAGGCCCGATCTTTTATGCATGAGTTTGACAATATTGATTCGAGATTCTAGAGATGAGAATTGATGTTTAGGTCTAGTTTCAATAGGCAGGTTAATTTATAAATGGTTAAGTCGAGATTCGAGAGATGAGATTTAATTCCGGTAGATTAATTATGTGATTGTAATACGCAGCGAAAGCCCTTTATGATTAGATTAATGTATGCAATTATGATTGATTATTATGTTTTACCCTGGATTGTTATTTATTGGTGAATCTATGCCCTGGGCCTTTATTCATTGTTTTCTCTTTACTCTTAATCTCCGTAGTTTAGTTTTATATCCATATTATCAAATTGTTACTTTATAATTTAGATTGCTTTAATTAATTAGGAATAGAAAGACCAGTTTCCCTATGGATTCGACCTTACTTCCCTATTTGCATTAGTTAGAGGATTTAGGAATTACTTTTGATTAGGTGATACGACTATAGCCTGTCAAAATTTGGCGCTGTTGCCGGGGAAACGATTTTATTTTTAATTCTGATTATTTTTGTAGTCTAGGTTATTTCTTTTTGTCTCAGAGAACGTTAGTTCTTTGAGGCAAGTCTCATATTTGCTTTTATTTCTTTGTTTATGCCTAGGCGTTCCAGATCAGATTACATCCCATTCGATCTCAAGATCGAACGATCCTTCCATAGACAAAAGAATTTTTACAAACAAATTCTGGCAGGTTCTGGTGATAATAATAATCACCGAGACCCTCCAACTGATTTTAGCGATTCAGAGGTATCTTCATATCCAGAATCAGAGATGGCGGTATCCACTACAAGAAAAAGTTGAATTAGCGACTGATTTTTGCGACTACCATAATAATCAGTTGCAAAAATTATTTTTGTGACTGAAAAAGACGAGCAGTCGCAAATTTTGCAACTGATTTTGCAGTAGTTGCTATGCGGTCGCTAATTAGCAACTAATATTTGCGACTACCATAATAATTAGTTGCAAAAATTATTTTTGCGACTGCAAAAAATGAGTTGTCGCAAATTTGCAACGTATTTTATAATAGTTGCTATTCGGTCACTAATCTGCGACATTCTTACAACTTTTTGCGACTAAATTGCAGTTGCTAAGGCTAACAAATTTGAAACAATTTTTTTAAAAAATTTGCGACTAATATTGCAACTAACATGGTAGTTGCTACTATTGTTTTTAAAATTTATTAAAAAGGAATTAAAACCCTTAATATATAATAAGTTTTTTTTTTTGGTACGGAAATATAAAAACCCTTAGTAAAAGTAGTACAATAAGTTGTTGCCGCCAAAAAACACAATAAACAATTATATCAATCCTTCCTTAAAAAAAAATTCATCACTCCTTATTTACAAACATTGCTGCTCGAGTGCTCGATACTCTTCATCCTCACAAAAAAAAAACAAAGGACAAAAAACGAAGGCCAGTGCAATTCAGAACTTCAGATCAAACCCACGTCGTCTTCATCTCCTCTCCGGTTAGTCGCATGCTTCCTCTTCCTAGTGTCCATTCAATATTTCTCATATTTCAATTTGCTAATTGCGATTTAGTATAATTGAGTATTTTGTCCAATTTTTTTTATTTTAGTCTAGTTTCGTTTGAAAATTGCGAATTGATTTTAAATTTCGAATTGATTGAATTGCGAACCAAATGAGTTGTGAATTGATTGAATTGAATTTAATCTGGTTTATTGCGAAGATTGAATTGATTTTGTTTGACAGGCAATTGCGAGTTTTTGGGTTATTTTTGAAGTCAATTATTAAAAAACCATTAAAACATGATTTATCATTCAAAAAGCCCTAATTATTTTTAATTTCTTAATGACTGATTTTATTTGCACTGCTGAAATTTACAAGGTCTGGATCTGTTCGAATTCTCTGTATAATTTTCAGAAATTGAAATAATAATTAAGTGAAGTGTATATGAATTTTTACATTGTAATTAAGGATAGAAATGACAATGATGAAGAGGATAAATAATAACCAATATTAGGTTTCCTAAAGAATTTTAATTTAGTTAGCTGTGGTTGATCTTGTGGTGTTGCACTGCTGCCGAAATTAGGTTTCGTTACCTGGTTTTGAATTTAGGATAAATAATAACCATTGCATTACCTGGTTTTGAATTTATTATATTGCAGTAATTTTGTGTCTTAGGTGCCAGAATTGTGGTAGAATTGTATACTGTAGAATGAATAATATCTGACAATGTAAATACTCTCTGCAATATGTTTATATAGATGTTGTAATTGATAGTTTATATGACAAAAACTTATAAACAGGAGTTTATATAAATGAATTAGTCAGACTGACTTAAATCCCTATATAATATTTTTAGATTATTTTTCTTATATTTTTCCTTAAAACTAGATATCCTATTCTCATATATATGATGCTTCATATTTTGATGTATGTAGTTTCCGCTGTTCTTAAATTTTGTTCCCTGATTTGGTAAAATAAATTGATTTGTACCTATCATTGTTTTATTCTGCTTGTTTCACTATAAGCATATGCGAATCATGGATACTGACGAGGTTTAAATCGGTCGCTACAATCTAACTCTCAATCAAACAATACTTATACGAACACCCTATAACCAAGTACAATGGCAAATAAAGGTTCGGTCCACGAGGAACGAGAGTAATTGCAAATCAATCTTAAACCTAAGCTAGTTCGAAATCAATGGAAAATGGTGTTCTAAAATACTACTAATAAGATGGAATAAATCAATAAACTAAGACACTAGGGAGAACGGGAATCCGCCTAACCATTGGTAACTAAGCAACAAGGAATCACAGAGACAAACGGGATATGCAAAGACTATAAGTCTGATCAATATCATGTGATAGGAAGACAACGGGAAATACTAAGCTTGGATTTCTCATGCACTTAACATTACTCGATACATAATCAAACCACATTCAATAATGAAATACTCAATTCACAATCTCTTGTTCAAATCAAGAATATCATGCAATCAAATTCAAGATTCTAGGTTAGCTACTCCTATTATAAGAATTAACATGCAATCGCATATAATCAATTTAATCACAGTCCGTTTATCAAAATCAATCCTCAATTACATAGATTACCTAGGCCGGGTTTCATCCCGAAACCCTAGCTAGGAGACTACTCACACATATTCATAATCAAAGCAATAATGAATTCCAAAAGCATAATAGATATAAACATGAATTCTGATTAAGGAATAATAAAGCTTGATTAATAAACAAGAATGAATAATACCAATTGTATTGATGCGAATCAATGGAAAAGTTCAGAACTTTGATATCCGTCGTCAATGAATAATACAAAGAATCTTCGCAAATCTTGCTTCAAATCAATCCAAGAAAACTAAAATCTCTAGAAATATCTCTAAGAAAACTAATGAATCTCTAATACTAAGAACGTTCTCCAATAACTCTCTACAAAGGCTCTCAAAACTATCTCTAAAACTGTCTCTTAACCCTTACAATCGGGCTATATATATATGTTTTAAATCGGAAAGTAAATCGCAGGCTGCCCTTCGTGAATCGGCACGGCCGTGCTGGAAGTGGCACGGCCGTGCAAGCATGGCAGTAGCTGATCCGCAATATCCCCACAGACGGCGCCAAATGTTTCGGGGTTTTATGATGTCTTGCGGGAGAGTTACAATTCCGAGACTGGAACCGGACGCCTGTACCTGCAAAACAACGGAGACTCCTGGTGGTGGGAGCTCCGCCTCCAACGGTCAAGTTAGTACTTGATTAAGGAGTAATTAATGCGGAAATTAAAGTGATTGGGTCTCTCTAGGTGAGAGTGTTAAATGTAGGTAATCTGCTTTTTTTAGCGTGATCAGCCTGTTATTCATGTAATCTCCCTTAATGAGGATTAAGGGAGGTATTTATAACCTTGGGAAACGTGCTAATCCTAGGTTTAGGTTAACCTAGGGCTGATTGGGCTTCCCTCGGAAGTTGGGCCTGGGTGGCCGGTTTCTCCATTAGGCATGGAGTATGCCACGTGTCATGACATAATAGGTCCAAGGTGGACAAATAAGCGGGTGCCACGTGGCAAGCCCTGACAGTTCCGACTGGGGGACACTTGGCAGGACCTGATTGGCCCACGTGGCGCATTCCGATTGGTGGGAGCAAAATCCCCTAATCATTTGCCCCTCACAGGTGGCACGTGACTGATCACGTGTTACCTGTGACAGGTGTCGCACTGTAACAGGCGACGGCCTGCTACAGGTGTCACTCGGCGAAAGGCCGAGAGATTCTCCCACCCAAATTATGAATTCTGGAAGTGACCCTTCGCCTTCTCACTTCGCCTATATATAAGGAAGTGTTGACTTCAGTCATTTTCACACTTGAGAACTTTGTGAGAGAACATTCGGACCCCTGAACTTGCTCTGACATTTTGGACTCTCTCTGCCTACCGCCTGCTCTGACAAGCCGACTGCAAAGGATTTTCAGAACTTCATCAACCGTCACTCGTTCAGGTAACCGTCGGTTCTCTTACTCTTAATTTTCTCTTTATTCTTTTTTGAAATGGCACCACGGAAGCACACGACACGACCTAGGTTAGTGATCAGCCGGTCGGGGACGGCCGAATCTAGGACTAGGAGTGCCGCCTGCCCTTTTCTGGACCCATCTTTGCCCTTTATACAAAGTCCGACTGTATCTGTGTCTATGCAGAGCATGATGGCCAGAACAAAAAAGACTGCCAGGATCTCAAATTCAGACGGCTCCTCCCAAAGGGTGGCGATTAGTGAAACATCTGACCAGGCGCCAGATGCGGAAGTGAAACAAAGCGGCTTGAAAGCCGGCAGTTCTGAGGGAGGAGTCAAAGTGACCCCTTCCCTTTTTACAGTTGACAATTCTTCATTCTCTCCTGCTCCTTTTAAAGGAGAGGAGGCGGGCCCCTCCGGGAGAGGGGAGGAGTCGTCCTCTTCGGACTCGTCATAGGACGATTCCGAGTCTAGCTCTTCTGGCCATGCTTCTTTGGACACAGAAGAGAAAAACAGTCGCCTGCAAGAGGCGAGGCTTTCTCACGCAGTTGAGAAGGGGGACGATTGGGCGGAGCCATCCGCCTATTATCGAGAGCAAAATACCCCCTACTACTGCACGGTACCTCGGGGCCGGATCACGGCCATGCAAGAGAAAGTAGAGAGCTTTATCGCAAACCACACAATGGGCCCCGGCTTTTTAGTGTTTGTGCCGGATCCAGAAGAAACAGTCGTCTGACCGGCTGGTACCAGTTATGATAGCGCCTGCTTTGGCTGCTACGAGGCGGCCATCAAGGCTGGGCTGCGCTTCCCACTACATCCGGCTGTTCAGCGAATCTTGGATGGGTATGAGTTGGGGTTATGGCAGTTAGCCCCGAACTCCTGGGTCAATGTACTCGGCTATGTGGCCGGGTGCGAACTGCACGGGGTGGAGCCGAGCTTCGAGGCTTTCGCCCACATGAACTACCTCAGCCGGACCCTTAAGGCAGGCGGTACCGGCTGGTATCAATTGATGAGCCACAGGGGCTACCTCATGACGAGAGGTAAAGCAAACAAATGGAAGGACTGGCAGAGCACCTTCCTCATCATTGAGAGTTCAGACACAGAGCTGAACAAGCGCTTCAACAGGTGGAACAGGAATCCGCTACTGCCATGCTTGCACGGCCGTGCCACTCAAACAAGCAACGAGACACACAATCCAAGATATCGTTGATCAAATGCGAACAAGACCTAAACCAAGAATAGAGAACAAAGAAATCATGCTTCCCTCTAAACCCGACCAAACCGGCCACGTCCTCCCCTTTTGCTTCAAATCACCACCCTAATTGGCCCCTCGTGATTCCTCGAAGGAACCGGAAGAAGTGATGTTTTGAGGAAATAACAAAGGTATCCCGACATCTCGATTACGCATAATCTTTCCATAGGGTTGAAAGGTATCTCCCTCCACCGTTTGAGAACCGAACACCTCTAAAGTCTAAGGGTCTTAAAGGGTTGTAATGTATTGGCAATGGGTAAGGTAGGTGAAAACAATTTAAAAAAAAGTGGGGTTAATTCCTAAATGAAGCGCAAGAATCACAATTCTCAAAAACAATAGTTCAAAAGATGTAATTCACTTTCCACAATCTCATTGATTCACATTCTTACACATCCCAAATTATCCATATAATACACACTCAAATGACCTCTTTCAAACTTCAAAACTTTATTTATGTGTCCTTGCCTTTTTCACAATTCGGACGGCTTTTCTCTTCTTTTTTTCTTTTTAAATTCTTTTTTTTTTCTTCCTTTTTTTTTCTTTTTTTTTATTGATGGCAAAATGACTTTCACATTACATATTTACAATTAGGCTCACTTTCACACCTGCTCAAACCAACTATCAAACTTTATTTCTTGATTAGTAAACAATAAGCTCAACAAACCTATCTAGGTAAACGCTTCACAACTAAGGGTTGGTAAAACATTGGCCATCGGGTTTGTAACACGGTTAACCAAGAATGG